GCAATTCACTTTGCTAACGAAAAGGAAAATAGAAAGAAAAAGGTTGCTTAGTCATTATAGCTATGAAGGGCAATTTGTCTAAGGGAAAGTCCAAACAAAAGCCTTCCAGATAATTGGCAGTGTATTCCTATATCACAATGCAAGACACTTTCTTCACTGACTTTTTTTGGTGTTAACTTTACAGCCAATCTCATAAAGCTTATCTATTGTGGCTTTATGCCGCTGTCTTCAGGGTAACTGAGCTAGTGCCAGTTTTTGCAAAATTCTGTGAAATAACTTTCGATTCTTGTAAACGTAGCAGAATCTTGGCACTTCCACCCATCAGCTCTTGCAAACTTGTAAGACCCCTGGTTATCAGAAGTTATCAGGAGCCCCCCGTGGTACAATGGGTTAAACTTTTGTGCTAGCAGTACTGAAGGCCAACAGTTCGGAGGTTCAAATCCAGGGAGAGTGAGGATGAGCTCCCTCCATCAGCTCCAGCTCCCCATGCGGGGACATGAGAGAAGCCTCCCACAAGGATGGTTAAACATCAAAACCTCCCAGTGTCCCCTGGTCAACGTCCTTGCAGACGGCCAATTCTCTCACACCATAAGTGACTTGCAGTTTCTCAAGTCACTCCTGACACGAAATAAATAAATAAATCAGAAGCTGCTAGTGCAATATTTTATTTATTTATTTATTTATTTATTTAAAACATTTATATTCCACCCTTCTCACCCCAAAGGGGACTCAGGACGGAGCACAGCATATATATGGCAAACATTCAATGCCAAGACAAGAATTCATATGAGTATGCATAAACATTAAAACCATTTATCAAAATATTAAAATATTAAAATACACTGTTTAAAACTGTCTTTGTCATCTGTGTCAAATCTAAAAAGACCTCTGCTCCCACAAAAAGCTCAATTAAGAGGGGGCACAAGCAGCTTTTGCAAACTGCGCCTTGCTCTCTTTGTTAGTTTGCTTATTTATTTAATCAGGAGATATCTATAGATGTATTGTTTAACAGCTTCCATTGCACCCATCTGCATGACTAGCAACTAGATGACATTCCAGGGGCAGGAGGGGAAGCCCCAAAACAGACAATATGCTATGCTGCTTGGAGAATAAATGGCCATGTCTTTATTAGTTACAGTAGAGAAGTGTTGGAATGGTATGAGGGATATATCCAGGTATAAGACAAAATGTCACCTGGTAAATGCATCCCCCATCCTACCTGCAAGGGAGGGTCACCCAAGGGATGGCATGGGGGTACCATCACTATGTGGCTCCCTGCCTACTTTATGTGAAGCTGGGGATTTAATCACATGGAGGGGGAAACATTGTGTGATACCCATTGTTGGTCCACTACCTCCCTGCAATGAAGCCATCGAAGGAGCAAGATCAATTTTGGGAGGAATGGGTAGGCTATAACCTCTTTGTTCCAAATTTATGGTTTCCAATATGGGACCTGGCATATGAGGTCAGACCTATCCTGGAAACCAAAAAAGAGGACATTACTGCACCCTTGACACTATCCCACATCCCTGATCATGCCATGGTCCTATAACTTAGTTTGTGCAGCAAGTCTAGGTGCTTCTGTGGTGACATCTGCTGCACTTCTCTTGCTGTAAAATTATTATTATCATTGCCAGGTGCTTTCTAATTGCAAAATGTCTGAAAATGAAGCAGCACAGCAGCGGGGCAGAGTTATACCACCCATCTGGAGATGCAGCTTTACACAGGATTACAATCGTGCAATGCCAGCAGCTGCCCATAACTATGACAGTAAGTTGCCACTATCTCATGTCACGGAAATGGCATGGGATAGCAGCAAGAGTGCAGTAATGTCCTCATTTTTTATTTTTAAAATATGCCTGCACCCCCAAGGTCCCTTATGGGAACTTTCAATGGGGAAAAAGAGGTTGTAGGCTACTCATTCCTCCGAAAATTGTTTTGTGCCCTAAGCTGCAATATACTCCAGTTTGGAATAAAGAACATATCACAAGCTTAAAAGAAGAGACCTAGAATAGGTAGCTGCTTAGGTCCATATGAAGAGAAACTGGCAAGGGAGTGCTTACATCCACTATCACCCACTCTCATCAGACTGAGAGAAGACTACAATACCTACCTCTGGATTATACTCCCAAGAGCCTGTGAAAATCGCTTGGTCTTCTGGGAAAAAGAAAAATCCATGCTGCAAAAAATATCCACCACATCCATTCCCCAGAGCCATATCCCAATCCACAAATGGGCTTAATGGGCTTAACCCTTCTCTTTATCAATCCCATGGAGCTTCATATGACATCTAACTGGATGACTTTTGATGCATTCCTAGTCAACTGAATCTCAATTCACACATTTTTCTTTCACCACTAGCCGTCCCCTGCCACGTGTTGCTGTGGCCCACTCTGGTGGTCATGGGGGTTCTGTGAGGGAGGTTTGGCCCAATTCTATAATTTGTGGGGTTCAGAATGCTCTGTGATTGTAGGTGAACTATAAATCCCAGCAACTACAACTCCCAAATGTCAAGATTCTATTTTCCCCAAACTCCACCAGTGCTCACATTTGGGCATATTGAGTATTCGTGTAGAGTTTGGTCCAGATCCATCATTGTTTGAGTCCACAGTGATCTCTGCATGTAGGTGAACTACAACTCCAAAATCAAAGGACACTGCCCACCAAAGCCTTCCAGTATTTTCTGTTGGTCATGGGAGAACTGTGTGCCAAATTTGGTTCAATTCCATCATTGGTGGGGTTCAGAATGCTTTTTGATTGTAGGTGAACTATAAATCCCAGCAACTACAACTCCCAAATGACAAAAACAATTTTTTGAGTGAAGGAAATACATCGGGTTGTTAGGTGTCTTGTGTCCAAATTTGGTGTCAATTCGTCCAGTGTTTTTTGAGTTCTGTTAATCCCACAAATGAACATTACATTTTTATTTATATAGATTGTCTTCTTCCGTATACTTTTGTGATACCTTAACCTGCCAATGGGAAAATATGGCAGATGGCAGAAGAGGGCAGAGACATCAAATGAAAAGTAATCCAGTATGCAAAAGCATGCACACCAGCATAAGAAATGAAATATACAGCCCATGGATGGCTGCAGTTAGTAATGCTCCATGACAAAGAATACACATGAAAACTTAGAAATGTGGCATAAACATGGCGAAATAGCCTACTCCATCACATATATCCACTTCATCACACTAGAGAAAAAATCCACTTAAAATCCGGTTTCTGCCCCCTGCAGAATTCTAGGGTTTGTAATTTAGCGAGGTTGTTAAAGGCCCCTCCCTGACTACAAACTCCAGAATTCTGCAAGAGGCAGAAACCAGATTTTAAGTGGATTTTTCCCCTCTAGTGTGATGAGGCATTATAACAAACAAACCTGACCAATGCATGTGGAGCAGGCATGGGAAAAATAAGGTGTGGGGGCTGGATGTGCCCCCCTCTGGGTGCTTACCTCAGTCCCTCCTCATTTTCCCTGTCCTTTCGGCATAAGGAATGGCGGGCCACTGCATCCTTATGCAGAAAGAATGGGGAAGGAAGGCACGCAGCAGCTGAGAGCCCTCTGGAACACTCTCAGCCACCCTGTGTCAACTCTCCTCTTGTCCTTATGCTAGGAGAACGGCTTGAGGAAGGCATGCAGTGGTTGAGAGCCCTCCAAAATGCTCTCAGATGTCGCCTGTCTTACCCTTCTCCCATCATAATGCCAATAGGACAGCCCAAAAATTGATGCAGGAGGATTGGGGAGGAGGATTGAGGCAGTCACCATATGTCTCATTTTCTTCCCGGCATATCGATGGGGTGAGCAGGCCTGTTCTTATGCAGGAGAAAAACCCGAGGATGACATGGACCCTGTCCCCCCCCCTTTCTGACCCCATCCTCTCCTAGGCCCTCTCCCTCCCGGGCCCATCCCACACAGTATCTACCTGGTCACCCTCCCTCTTAATTCTCTAGTAAAGTGCATTTGGGACATGATGTTGGGAGTTTCCTATTCTGGAAAGTGTAGAGCATCACAAATAATAAAAGTACTTTTAGTAAGTTTAAAACTTTAAAAAGTCAAAAAAGGTAGAAGAAGACAGATTAAGACCAGATTAAATCAGGGCAGAAATCGTGTGATTGCCCAGATATTGTAGGACCGAAAATCCCGGCATTCCTTCTGATGACTGCAGGAAACTTAGTCCAACAGTATCTGAGAGGCAGCTTGATTCCAACCTCTGAGCTAAATCCTATTGAAATTTGTGGAACTTGTTAGTTGCCATTCAGGGTTAATGTTGCATCCAGCCCTTTAATTCCTAGCATAAACCAGTTTAGTAGCAAATAAAGTTGGTGGTGTTATGCCACTAGAACTTACATTTAAACTAAGACTGATTATCTATGAAAAATTAGTATTATTAATCCGTTGAATCCCTGTCTTAATGATAAAGAGCACTGTATTAACCATTATTTCAAAGGCAACATGGCTGACATGTCTGTCAAACTGACCCATGAACCACAGGCAGTGGCTTCTTTGCTTTCTGATGGTTTGCAGAATATATCTGAGTCACTAACAAAAGATAATACCTCAAACCTGAATTTCCTGTCTTGTTGCATGCTCCCCCCAATAAAGTTTGAAAACATTTTCATGCCACTGTGCAAGTGATTTCCTTTAAAGTGGGGTGGGGTTCGGTGGGGAATTTTCCCCCCTGTACCTTCTCGCTGGTGTGGGCATGCTTTCTAAGGAATCCCCAAAAGCTGGGCACGTAGCTTTGCATTCATCATATGGAGAACCCAGTCACTTAAAGGAAACTTTAGGTGGAGAGATCCCACAAACCAAACCTAATAATAAGATCTCTTATCTCGCACCATCTCAAGGGATGTGTGAAAAATGCGTAATTCTGATTCGTAAAAAAAATGCGATGACCGGGTATAAATATCACCACTCTAGAGAAGCTAGCATCAAAGTCACAGGTTACAAAAGACAATCGGGTTAGAACATTTGTGCTGGTCCAACATTCGAATCTATAATCGAAGGGTGTTCTTACTTGCCTTGAGAGCAATGGCCTGGCAGATTTGTTTGATCATCCTTCTGGCTGCTAGTTCTTCATTGGGTCTCCCCAGTTCAACTTCTGAACATATAACTGGTGCGATTGAAAGTTTGCAGAAAGACTTCGTAAGTACACATTCAGAGTATCTTTTTCTTTTCTCCATTAGCTAGCTTACTAATAATGAGTTGACGATGTGATGTGTCATGGATGCAGACATGCAATTCCAAATTATTTCTTTTATACAGTTTGGTGAATTTGGACTGGACTGCACAGCACTTGCTTTTACTTTCTTTGCAATATCCTCCCTCCCATCTGATCATTTAATATTAACTATGAGCTAAAATATAACCTTACTTGTTTTCTTACACCTTAAAGGAAAAGCTCGTTTATGCACGCATTTCTTTATGATTTCTCTATCAAGGTAGAAGCTGACTGACTGAAAGCATATGAACAGAGCTGTTTGCTCACTTGATCTTAGTCATTCTATCATACTCATTCTGTGTGTAGTCCAATCTCTAAACAACTTGTTCAATACTTTTCATAGTGCATTTCTCTCTTAATGTATGGAGTTCTTTCACTGACAAGTTACTAAATTCCTCACTTTTAGACGTTTGTAACCAGTGGAAGGTGCCACAGAAATGCCACTTTTGTGTGTGAATCATAGCTGTAGAATTTGGAGCCAATTTTTTTTCAGGCAATGGAGGCTGGTGGATTCTGTGTACACGTTTATGTGAATTTGTTCTGGGTCTGAGCCCAACCCCAATGGACCATCCAAGGTGCTGGGTCTGTTTGGTCAATAGTTTTGAGCACTTTGGTTAGAATCATAGAGTTTGAAGAGACCATGAAGGTCATCCAGTCCAACCTCATTCTGCCAAGCAGGATTACTAAATCAAAGCTCTCTCAATAGATTCTCCTCTACCTCTGCCTAAAAATCTACAGAGAAGAGGACCCCATCACACTCTGAGGCAGGATTTCCTCGTCAAACAGCTCTTCCTAATGCCTCCTAATTTACATTGCTTAGATGCAATATCTTTTTTCCCCTGTAGCTTGAATCCATTGCTATATGTCTTATTATCTGGAACAACAGAAAATAAGCTGGCTCCATCATCAGTATGACATCCTTATAAATATTTAAATGTGGCTTTCATGTCCCGTCTTGTTTTCAAACTAAATGTACCCAGTTCCCTAAGCTGGTCCTCGCAGGGCCTCCCAGTGATGAAGAACTATTATTGCTATGTGGGAATGTTGGTCCCAACAAATACATATTTCAGTTTAAGGTAGCATTGGATGTTACTAAGAATGTGGTCTGGATGCTAACCAAAATAGTCAGGAAGACCCCATTTCTGTAATGGTTGGAGGATAATTGTACTAGGGAATCTTACAGAGGCACTCAAGGGGGATAATGACTTGGTGCATGTTGTCATTTAATGTGAGGAGCAGAACCTCATATGAAAGCTTACATAATGGCACATGCTGTTAGTGGTGAGCCTTGTTCAGAGGAAGAGTCAGACAATGAAGTCACACCTGCTGTTTCCTTTGACAGGAAATGCTACTGGTTCAACCTTCCTTTGCTGTAGTGAGGTGTGATTGCAATGGGCAATGCCATGGGTTAAGATATCAGATACATTAATCTCATTGACCAGAATATATAGTTACTGCACTCAAGTGCTTGTTCCATTTTCTAAACTGATTCCACATGCATGTGTAGAAGAGATGCATCAGAAACTAAATGCCATTGTGGCTTTTTAAAATAGGCTATATTTAAAGGAAGTAGAAATTATTCACAGGCAAACAGAGGCATGTCAGTTTGATGAATTACATCTGGAATATTGATAACAGTGTAAGATATATACCATATACATAACACACACACAGAGAGAGACATATGTATATATGTATGTATGTATGCCAAAATTACCTTGTATATTTATAAGGTAAACGGCATGCACGCTTTAGTCAAAAAATCAACCCAAGCAACGTAAATCACATTATTCACAAGCCATTGAGACTACTATAAAGGTAAAGGTTTCCCCTTGACATTAAATCTAGTTGTTTCCGACTCTGGGGGTCTCATCTCCATTTCTAAGCCAAAGAGCCGGTGTTGTTCGTCATGTGGCCAGCATGACTGCATGAAACACTGTTACTTTTCTGTAGAAGTAACCTATTGATCTACTCACTCATGTTTTTGAACTGTTAGGTTGGCAGAAGCTGGGGCTAACAGTGGGTGCTCATCCTGTTCCTTGGATTCGAACAGCTGACCTTTTAGTTAGCAAATTCAGCAGTTCAGCTGTTTAACCTGCTGCACCACTGGGGGCTCCCGAGACTATTATACTTTAGCTGTTTTCTTAAAAGGAACCCTCTCCTTCTCTGAGTAGAGGGCAAAAAGCAAGAACTTAGTCTGTCCTGGGAGAACTTAAAAGAAATGCCAAGTTGACTTATACAGCAATATAAAGTATTCATGCGCCTTTTTTTTAGCAGTAGAAGAAATGTTTTTTGTTTCTGTGGAATTAAGATTTGGGGTGTAAATGAAAATGACTGGGAAGCATGCACAGACTTCCTAAGCTGTAAATAAATAATAGAAAAGAAGACAGCAGTGATGAACAAATTTGCCTTTAAAATGGGATTAAAACTAAATCAGGCTGCCTGGCTGAAGGCAAAATAATTGCAATCGTTGATCTGATTGAGGAGAAAGAATTTCCTCTGGAGGCCATAACAGCTGGAATTGAGTCAAAGTTGATTTTTTTTTACTAATACTGAATGAAGTTATATGTTTGATTGAAATGTTTGTATTTTGTCTTGCAGAATGCCACTTGGTCTGATGTTGCTGAGGGCGGGCCTGTTTTTATACGTTTACTGGATAGTGGTCTATGGTCACAGGTAAGCTTCTTCCTTTATTTTCTTCAATGGGGAAAAGAGAGGGCCATGGCCAAGCTTATCCTTATGGCCAAGCTAATCAAATATACTATGTCATGAAAAAAGCAAAAAAACAAAAACAAAACAAAACATGGCTAGTTATTGATTTATTATTGCATTTTCACTGACTGAGAGGGCATTAGAAGCATATGAGATTTTCTGAATCAGATGCCAAACTAATTTGTGAGGATTGGCTATGATGCTAGCCCAATGCAGTGGTTTGAATGCTGAAATATGACTCTTGGGAAGGTGAGGATTTGAATTGCAACCCAGCCATGGAAACCCACTAGGGAATGCTGTGCAAGTCAGACTCTTCCAAACTCGGAGGAAGGCAATGATAAGCCCTGTCTGAATAAATCTTGCCATGAAAACCCTATAGAGTTGACTTGAAGACACATTCCGACAAATGTGCATCTTCATTGTGAGTGGAGAAGAGGGAACATTGCTTATTTTCCACCTCAGGCAGTGAAATATCTTGAAAATCTTTTTGAAACGAGAACAATTTTTGTGTAACTCTTTCCCAGAGGGAGGAAATACCAGTCCCTTATGTAGCAGATGAGTTGCCTGTTGCAGATTAAATCTATAGTCAAGGACATGTATCTCCAGACAGCACTGTATAAATAGTGTTTACATTCTTTTTCTTCCTGTGACAAGGAAACTAAATGTGAAAGGCGTAACTCTTTCACTTTGACTTACATGATTATGTGAACACATCAAATACCATTCTAGTTTCAGAAGGCAGTGAGGCATTGCTTTGACTGCTTCAAGAGATGTTATCACCAGTGTCTGTGATGGTTTGAGGACCTCAGATTGAGGACCTCATATTTGTCTTACTTAAGAAATGTCTCTAATGCATTTTTTTTGGTATTTTCTCCCTTTGGCAGGCCAATGAGAAAAAATTATTAATAGCCCAGATTATTTCTATGTATGTGCAAATGCTGAACAATATAACCAAAACTCCAACTCCAGGATATATCAAGGAATTGAGAGAAGCTCTGGAAGACTACAAAGATCACTACAATGAAAGCTTGATGAAAGCAAATGATCTAATTCAGTTGGCACAGCTTCCGGTAAATATTTGAAATAATGGGTTTGCTCTTTTCTTTTCTTTCTCTCCTAAAACGATTTGAAAGTTTGCATATGTGTGAATGAGAGAAATGTGAGGAAGCTTATGACTTTAGAAAGATGGGTTATACCAGGAGCAGGGAAATATGGGTCAAATTGGTTCTAGGCAGGCATGTTTGGCAGTGGCAATAATCTTAGGAGTATCAAAGTATGGTAGGAGAAGGTTGGTGTTTACCTCTCCAGTAATGTAAGGAAGCCTTCCAAGGCTTTCAGTGAGGATTTTAGAAAGCCACGTTCCAATGAAGGAAAGATGAATTTTTCATGGGTCTTGGTGTTGGCAATGTTGGAGAGTATTAGACCTTTCTTCTCCTTTCCAGCACTGGCTTCTCCAAAGGGTTTTGGGGTTTCAATTAGGAGACCCAGTGGTGTCAAACTTGTGCTCCTCCTGATGTTTTGAACTTCAGTTCTCAGAATTCCTGGCCATTGGACAAGATGACTAGGGCTCCTGAGACATCTGGAGGGCCATAAATTTGACAGCTCTGAAAGAAGAAAGAAGGAACTTCTTTTATCTCTAAGCACTGGTTACTGTGGTCAAAGATAAGGGAGGCGGGGAAGTGGGTTGGCTGATTTACCTAGAAAGAGACTGTCTGAAGGCTGTTTCTGGATGGTAGGTCCTGGGTTTTAGGGTTGCCAGAATGAAAAGTGGAGACTTCTCCTATCACGCTACAGAACTGCTTATTACACAACTAGATTACAAGCAACACCTGCTGAAATTTTCTTATATACACAGTCATTGAAGAGAAGTGGCATCTCTTGTTCTCATTCAGACCACTCCACTGTGTATGTCTTAATCACTAGCAAGGGTTAACCATGCAATGGAAGTTTTTTTTTTGTGTCAGGAGCGACATGAGAAACTGCAAGTTGCTTCTGGGGTGAGAGAATTGGCCATCTGCAAGGATGTTGCTCAGGGGATGTCCAGATGTTTGATGTTTTGTGGGAGGCTTCTCTTATGTCCCCGCATGGGGAGCTGGAGCTGACAGAGGGAGCTGAATCCATTCTCCCTGGATCCAAACCATTGACCTATTGGTCAGTAGTCCTGCCAGCACAAGAGTTTAGCCCATTGCAGCTCCGGGGAAGTGAAACAAACAGATTCCATACACAAGGATAGTCAGGCTCATTTCTTGACTATTTCAGTTTTCATAATCTCTCTTGTTCTCACTCTCTCTGTATGTATGTGTGTGGGTGTGTTCATGTGTGATGTTGTCCATGATGCACAATTCTCCTGCTACTAGATTTTTTAGCTGAAACAAATCAAAGGTGTGTGAGTACATGTATTTGTATACATTAATGCTTCATGCTCATGGACTCTGATCAATAATGTAGACATGGCGCTCTTTGTCTGTATGAGTACAAAGCATGGACATACACACCCACACTGGCAAAAATGTTTTGTGATTTTACAGGGCATATGAGCTTGACTTCTGTTGGTGACTTACACCAGTGTAAGGTTAATAAATGTCACCATAAATTTTGGACTGTGATGTAATTATGCAAGGAAGTTTGTTTTTAGCCATATCATGCTACTCCTTCAAGCCTGTGAGGTTGTTGTTCCAGCTGTATGCACAAAATCCTGCATTTTTTTTTTAAAAGATCAATATTTGTCTTTTAAACAGATGGACAATTTGAAAATCCAGCGCAAGGCTGTCCTGGAAATGACTCGTGTCCTACAAGAGGTGAGAAAAGAAGAGAGCAGAAGGAGACGGAGGAGCCAAAGACAAAATTCCAGGGGCCTGAAAAGACAGAAACCAAACATCATGGGATAACACTGCTTGTCTCCTGAGAGCACCTTTTAGTATCCAAATGTATTTATTAATATTTATCAATTTTAAATAATTATTTATAAGTGTCCGTTTGGAATAATGATTTAAAGTATTTAAATTAACTGGTTTGAAGTATTTATAATTCATGGTGTTTTCTTTAAAAATAATATTATTCAATTCCTATTTATCTTCTGATATGTTCAACTGAATCAGTTAGACCTTGTCCAGATTTTATCTGGTAATTTTCTATGGAATGCAAATACATTTTAATTAAACAAAATATTCTGTTATTTCTCAAAGTCTTAGTGTGTCCTTCCTTCCTTCCTTCCTTCCTTCCTTCCTTCCTTCCTTCCTTCCTTCCTTCCTTCCTTCCTTCATCTAGAGTTTGTAGGATGATCAATAAATATTACTCATGTTTCTTCGGAAACAGGGAGTCCTGTTTAGGATATTGTTCAAGTCGGTGTTCATTTATAAATGATGCTAGAATAGTGTACCTATTTGTGGAGGTTATATTCTACACACACACATACACACACCCACATCACACATTGCTATCCAGTAAGACTGGTTTGGCAAACAAAAAGGGGTTAAGTTCATTTGGAATAAAAAAGAGAGCAAAATTAATTGGGAAATCAAATCTTAAAACAACTATTTCAGATGAAAATTGGGAGAAAGTTGGACCGCCCCATCTTACATGATCCTTGAAGGTACTGCTAACATAGGCTTCCATACGCCTTTAAGGCAAAATTTTGCAAATCTAGCCTTGATATGTGAAACAAAGAACAAGATGATGCCATTTCCTGTACTGTGTTTGAAAGCCAACCAGACTACCAGCTAAATTTTTCCTCTTGACAGCATCCTTGTCCATAGCTCAATGTGACAGATTAGCTTAGGATGGTGCAGGGTTGTCTATCTGTTTCATATCATTCTCCTATATCTTACTGCCACTTATCAGTCATTGTCATCTAAGGCAACTGACTCATCTACCAAACAGGAGGACTGGCTCTCTGTTGTGTGGGCAGAGCAGTTCTTCGAACAAAGGAAAGAGGAAATGCATTAAATGACATAAGTGTTGGCGTTGGGAAGAGCCCTTGTGTTCAGGAGAAAAAAGAATTAGAGTGAACTGACAGGACAGAAACAAATATAACTGAGAACATACCTAAAAAGAAAAATTCAAGTAATTCTGACGAGAAATGCTCAGAAGAGTATGGAATGATAGCTTGATATTTGTGTAAACGTTTAGGGTTATCATGACACTCTTTTGTTCAAGAAAACGAGATAGATTTTAAGTAAGATTTGGATAGACTTAGTCTATTCTAGTTTAGATGTTAGTTTTTACCACAAGGGAGAAAGACTTCATCAACATAGTAACAAAAGGCTAATAGCTGTTTTGAAACACAGTCTTGGAAATATAGGTGGTTCAGATCTGGGACATTTTACCTAAATCCAACATCACTTCAGTGATGATATGTTAAACAAGCATTGTGTGCCAACAAAGTAAGGTTGAGTATCAATTAACCAATATGCTTGGAACCAGAAGAACTTTGGATTTTTCTGGATTTTGGAATACTTTTATTTGTATATATGTGTATATAATGAGATATCTTGGAAATGGGATGCAAATGAAACATTTATGTTTCATATGCACCTATTTCTGTTTTATTGACTATTCTAAAGCCTTTGACTGTGTGGATCACAATAAACTGTAGCAAGTTCTTGGCGGTATGGGGATACCAATTCACCTTGTCAGTCTCCTGAGGAGTCTGTATAATGACCAAGTAGCAACAGTAAGAACAGACTATGGAACAACAGATTGGTTCAGTATTGGGAAAGGAGTATGGCAGGGCTGTATACTCTCATCTTACCTATTCAACTTATATACAGAAGATAATGATGCTGCAGAAAATGGAAGGAAAAAGAAAGAGGGGCTGACCAAGGACAAGATGGATGTTATGCTTGAAGTGACCGGCTTGAGCTTGAAGGAGCTGGAGGTGGCCACGGTTAACAGGGAGCTCTAGCATGGGCTGGTCCACGAGGTCACAAAGAGTCAGAAATGACTGAACGAAACACATAGCCTGGGAGTGATTTCATGCAACATATTAAATATTTTTCATGCATGGAACAAAGTTTGTGTATATGAAACTATCACATCACTGTTTCAATCACCTATGTGGAGATTTTTGGATTTTTGGAGTGTTTTGGAATTCAGAATTTCAGATAAGGGATGCTCATCCTGTACCATGCACTGTATGTAGAAAAATGGCCAGAGTGCATGATTAATAATCTTTCATGTAGCTGCCAGGCACAACATTCAGTGCATAGAGACAATGCACATTTGTGCACTGTTCAGTGCACTTTAATCTCATTCACCATAGTCTGAAATGCACAGCTTATGATCAGCCACAAATAGCTAGATTGACGGTTGCTTATTTGATGCCATTTGGAGTCCACATTCAATTATTTCCTGGACTTTTATGCCAGACAATGTTGGGATGACACACCTAATAGGCAGAACAAGATGGCTGTCTTAGCAGCAGATTTTAGATGTCAGAAATGGGCAGGAATTACTTTAATAATATGTAATTTATTATTGTATGTTTAGTGATAATTAGGAGAGACGCTTACAGAATTTTATGCCTCATATGCCAAAATAATTTCTTAGGCTTAGATCTTATGACTTTTAATTTAAGTGGGGGTGGGGCAATACCTTTTGCTGCTCTGCTCCAGGCATGAATGTATTTTGGGCTGGCTCTTCATGGGGCCAAAGGGTGATGCTGAGGCAGGCAGTTAGCAGACAAAGATAAGTTAGTTTTTTAAAAAATCCTACTACAGGCATCATTTAAGACCTCATCACATGGATTAATTTTTCTGCTTATTGGTGCTGCCAGCACACTACCGGCATGGAGTCCACCGGAGCCCATCAAATGATGCAGGGCTACTTCCTCTGTTGGGCTCCATGCTGGCAACATGCTGGCAGCACCAAAAAGCGGAGGCAACAGGAGTTGGGTGTACACCCGTCACCATACAGAAAAAGTCTGGGAAGAAGCCAGGGACAGTGGAGCAACATTGTGGAATGGGATTCCACTGATAATAAGAAGATGAACCCTTCTGCTGCTCCACAGTTTCCTCCACTATCTCCTGGCTTCTCAACCTCCATGTGATGAAGTCCTTAGTGATATGGCTTCCCACTGTGGGAATAGAACATTGGACTAGATAGGCCTTTAGCTCAATCATGCAATGGATTTGTGTACAGTGTACAAGTGCAAAGATGTTACATGTGCAACATGAAGATTGTTTACACCAGAAAAAAAATACTTACCCATTTCTGTTCTGGGGCCGTAGGAACACATGATGTATAACTATTTTAACATAGAAAACAACGAAATCAGTGTCTCCACATTTTCCAGGATTTTTAAAATTTCTGTTCTCCAGCTGTGGTCATCTGGACCAGGGTAGCATTGGGGGTGGGGATGAATGTGACAGATTGGTGAGTGGCACTTTAAAAATGTGTACATCAGATTACCCCTAATCTCATGGCTGGGCAACTTGTTCTGACCACACAGCAAGCAACTTTGCAAGTGGGGCTCTGCCTGGGAGACACTTGGCAGGGAAGACAGTGGCAGAGCTTCAGTGACCCCATGGAGAAAGGTGCTAATTATATTGGGTATCTAATGGTGAGGGCCTAGATCTATCCCTTCATCACATGGGTTGCTGAAGCACAGCTGATCTACGAAGCCCCATACTGCCCATCACACAACACACACTTACTCCTGGCGGGGCACTGTAAGTCAACTGTGGCACAACTGTTCTACAACACTTCGTTCAGAACACAGGAGGCTTCCCATGGTCCATAGGAAGCAATGGGGCCAGTGCGGGGGGAAGCCATGTGGTGACACTTCCTCATGTGTGATGGGAAAGTGTCACTGTGGGTGATGCCAGCTACAGGGCAACGGGATTGCCTCATTGCCCCGTGGATTTGCCATGAAGGCTGGCAAATCCCCCCACTGTTCCTCATCATTGTGCTGAGGTTCTCGGGTGTCACCTAAAAAGAGAAGGAGAAAAAGAAAACCTTATTTCAATCTGATTTTGAGCAGAAGAGATATATAGTCATCAATACAATGTCAGTGCAATGTGGTGCTAACGGGAGTGGGGGCAATGTGGGATAGATCTAGGGAAGAATGCTTTCAATTGCATTAAGATTATTCATGCTAGGATGACGTACTTTAAATGCTGAGAATGTGGGTTCATTCCTTATGTCCTATCATATTCACAATCAGGCCACATTGTGATTATGAGTCTGTAGAAAACAAGCTTATATAAGTGATTTAGCTCACTTTTGGAATCATGAGTAAATATCATAGGAAATCTGTTTGTGTGCAATCAAAGTGTCCTGGTTCAGACCAGATGCATACTCTCTTGTTTCTACAAATGAAAAGAGGGATATGCATATCAGAAGGTGGTTTTAATGGGAAAAGCTGTTAATGTGGAAGGGCATGCAAACTGGAAGATGTTACAGTTTATATTTGCTGGAGCGCAATTCTGCACTGACCCAAAAAGGGGATGCCAATTTGCGCCTGCTTGATGGCCCAATAGGGACTCCCTCAGCTATCTCGTAGGCAGCAGGGAGTCCCTGTTAAATGGGAAGCCACCCTAAATAGTATTCCTTCTCTCCATGTCATTGCTGTTGCCAGGTGCGACACTTCCACCTATCTTAGTCTTGGGGCACACAGACTGACATCAGCCATTGCTTGGTAAGATGGATAGAGGGGGAGGGAGCCCTTCTCTTCTCCTGCCCGGTCTCTTTTGTGAAGTGAGGATGTCATGGCTGGCTACAGCTGCAATTTGAGGAAAAGGGACTGGAGGGGACAGCCATCCTGTGTTTCCAGATCACCTGACCCTGGGAAGTATGGGATAGCTGTCAAAACAGATGCATCTGATTTTGAAGGGATGTCAAGCTGTCGCGCGTTGGGCCTTTAACAGCTGTACTTTTTTATAGGACGTAT